CCCCCGGGCCCGAAGCCACGGGGGTCGATCGCCCGGGGGCAGGGACGGTACCCCCGGGAAACCGTGACAGGGATCCGAAGCCCTGTCGTGTTACATCTTTATCAGTGTCCATGTCATATTTGTCGTTTGTCGGCGAGTAATACGGCCGGGAGGCTCGCCGACAGTACCCCCCGGTTCGTCATCTACCCATCCACGCGCTGTGCGTCCTCTCCTCCGGTGCAGGGAACATAAAGCGAAAGGCCCCAGGCCTAACCCACACACCGGAGGAGTGGAGGCTCGCCTAACGGGCCATGCCCGGGCGATCGCCCCCGACCGCCCATCTCCCCGTCTCCACATCCCACGCCCCCCCCGACGCCCTCGGCGGGGAGGCCCAACCAACCGAGCGACAGGGAACAATCCGCACCGCATGGATCAGTACCCACCCCTGAGGGGGTGGGACGACCAGGCGGGCGAACGATGTTAGAGAATTCCCCTTGCTGGCGTCCAGCGAGGGGGACCCAACCAGTCTGCACAACCGCAGACCGGGGGTCCCTCCCGCGAGCAGTCGCCGGAAGGGTGGGCCACCCCACCGAGCACCCCGCAGAGGCGCCCCTACAGAAAACTTCGAGAGCACGCGGTCCCGAGCGGTCCCGCGCACTCCCCCACAGCTTTCCGACAGCACCCCGTCCGCCCCATGACGGCGCGGGATACTGCCCTCCGGCCGCGTCTCCACCAGTGACGCCCAGTGTGCAATGGGCGATAGTTCCCGAAGAACGACCGCCCACTGGAGCAAACCTGGTGGTGAATGCCTGGGTGCAATAGGGTTGATACCCCACCAGGCATTCGCTTCCCCAGTGGCATGGGCTCGATGTCCGAAGACAGAGCCCGCCTGCAGCGATGTTGCTGCGTCGTCGTTCCAGTCCCCGGTACCGCGAGGGAACCACCCCATCCCCCGTGGGGGAGGGGGAGGGCCCCACGCGGGCCCGGGGGCCGTGGTGGACGAATACCACTCCGCCTTCGGAAGGGAGCAGGCCCCCCTCTAACGGTGCCGAATCACCGGGATTTGAAGTCGGAGTTACCTTCTCCTACCGGCGTAATGATTCCCCATCCTGTTACGGATGGTTCCTCCAGGCCCTCCACACTCCGAGAAGTGTGGAGGGCCCTTGGGACGCCGGACCCAGCGTACAGAGTCCCTCTATCTAACGAGGGACTCCGTACTGTGGAGTATTGGCTCTCTTAGAGAGCCCCGGGTGAGCCCCCGTGCCACGACAAGGCTCTCCACGCACGGGGGACATAACATACATAAACAGATTCAAACAAACCTCAATGTCAATGCTAAGCGTTCAGGTGGGGAAATGGATTCCCGAACAACATTCTGTTTCTGTAGTTTTGCGCCAACAATTTGCAATAATTCCTCCAACTTACTTGCACTTATTCTAAAATAATTATGGAAACGAAGATCTTCTAAACTTAATTTCGGGACTGATGCAAAGTAAAAACTGCTTTTATTGCGATCTTCGAAGATAGGCGCTATCCAACATTGTTTTTTAGAATATTGCCGATTTTCATTTTGCATATAACGTAGCACAGCAGCTGCTGCGGCTGTAGGTCGTCTTTTAACTTCTAATTCTACAACAGTTAAAATTGTACGTTTAAACTGCTCAACGTAATTCAGGTATTCATTATCCATTTCAGGTATTCGTTATATCTTTTTGTCTAGTCTTTATCGTAATGAGACGTTTTCACAATTTGATACAAATAAAACTTACTGCCAAACGACTTGTTCAAGTTCAAAACACTTCTTCATTTGTGGCACAGTAGTAGCACAGTATATTTGTGGTAGTGGGGATATCGCTAGCTTCGTTGAACGCTGGCTTCGGCGTCGGCGGAGTGGGGGATCTTCGCCAGCGAAGCTGCATGAAATTGCACCTTAAAGGAGAAGAGGTGTTGGAATTTAGTTACACATCATTTACGGAGAGAAATTGGAAATCACTGTTCGTGAGAGATTTTATGGATGAAAAGCGCGGTAGTTCTTGTTGACGATCGCATAAGAAGGTATAAGAACGCAGCTGTAAAAGATGTGCGAAAAATCAGTGATATTAGAAGGATCGTTGAAAAAATTAAATTCTATATACCTACAGATAGTTGTGGTGAAACGCTCTGGTTCACGTGTAAGCGAGGGCAGGAATTTTTTTAATACAGAGAGATTGATAAGGAGGTGGAGGATCTTTTTAATCGTGCGACGAGCATCGATACGGTGGACATATATCAGGTATGAGAGCAAAAATGCGACGAGTGTCTCGATTTCTTGCGGGAGACGTGTCGAAACAGTAAACGTCGACGAACATCTACCGGAGTCGTAAATGCATCAATCGCTCGAGTAGCACGATTGGAAGGCTTGAGAAATGTTTTACGACAACGATTTGAACATGTGGGCTCTGGTCGTGTCGAATCACAAAAGAGTGGATTTTAATGGTTGGAGATTGAAACAGCTTTTAATAATCGCGTAATGACTGGTGTGGTGTTGAATTCGAGTTACATCGAACCTCGACAGTTTCTCGACGACGTGAGAGATATCGTTATCGATCGGATTCGTGATAATCTTCAGAGACATAATTGTTTAAAAGTAAATACGATATTCAACGGTGAGTTCGTCGCGGATGCTAAGAGATCTGCTAAGAGTATCACTACGAAAAATTACGAGCTTTTTAACACATCCGATTTGCGAGAGTGGTACGATGAACACTTGACGGATGATATTTTAGCAGCACTGGAGGAATTTCAGGAACGTGACAGTGGATGGGCGCTGTCACGTATATCGAATCTGATTGTAAATGTTAACAAGTATAATCCTATGCATGCGGGATGTTGGGTGGAACTGCCGCGAGAAATTATGTTGAAGAAGGCGGTGATCAACGTGTGTTCGATGGACAATGCGTGTTTCGCCTGGTTGGTGGTCGCCGCTCTGTATCCTGCAGAAAAAAATGTAAATAGAAAATCGTCGTATCTAGATTATACTACCGTGTTGAAGCTTGAGGGTATCGAGTTTCCCGTTACTTTAAAATAAATTACGAAATTTGAATTTTTGAACGACATATCTATCAACGTATTTACCGAGCGAGAGAGAGGTGGAAAAAAAAGAGACGATGGTAATGAAATCGTTCCTCTTCGTCTTACCAAAGAGAAGAAAGAGAAACATGTAAACCTGTTGTATTTGCAAGACTCAAGACGTAATGATGAAAATGTCATCGGTCACTTCACATGGATTAAAAATCTGTCACGATTTATAGGTTCGCAATTGAGTAAGAGTACGAAGAAGAAGCATTTGTGTGATAGGTAGGTATACTAGTTGTATATATAGCGATAAAAAAAAGCTGTGTAACGCGTATGACTTGTTACTTTACAGATGTCTACATTATTTTCCTACGAGTGAGAAATTGTCGCTTCACATCGTTGACTGTACTACGACGAACGAATGTGCTATTATTCTTCCGAACGAGAACGATAAATGGTTATCGTTTCATGGTCATAATAAGAAGGAGCGACTTCTCTTTGTCGTTTATACTGATTTGGAGTGTCTACTGGCGAAGAAGACCACCGATGAAAACATGTCAAGATTCACCTATCAACATCACAAGGTGTTTAGCGTAGGGTACTACGTACGTTGTGTATACGACGAAACTATGTCGATGTACAAATCTTATCGCGGTGAGGATTGTGTATCATGGTTTGTCAAGGAATTATATGATTTGGCGCATCGCGCGAAAACGATATTCGATAAGAATATGGCTATGGCGGAGTTTACATCAAACGTCGAGTGGGAACAATTTCGAAACGCGACTCACTGTCATATCTGTGAAAGACCATTTGAGGAAGGAGATTTGCGCGTACGCGATCACTGTCATTTAATCGGACGTTATAGAGGTCCTGCACATTCACGTTGTAATTTACAGTATCACGATACATACATTATTCCTGTATTTTTTCATAACTTGGCAGGTTACGATGCATATTTCATCATAAAGGATATTGCTAATAGTTTTGTGGGTAGAGTCGACTTGTTACCTATAACGAAAGAAAAATATATATCGTTTACGAAACATGTCAAGGCTACAGTAAACTCTAAGCGGGGAACGGACTGTTTGAAATTGCGTTTTGTGGATTCATTCAAATTTCTCAATACTAGTCTCGAGAAATTGGTATCATATCTCGACAAGAGTAAATTGAAAATTTTACGATCGGAATTTTCAAATCTTGACGCTGAGGATTTCGATTTGCTTACACGGAAAGGAGTGTTTCCGTATGAGTATATCGATAGCGTTGATAAGCTAAATGAGACTAGTTTACCACCACGTGAACTGTTTTATAGTTCGTTGACCGACAAGACTGCTTCCGATGACGATTATCAACACGCGATGAACGTTTGGCGACGTTTTTGCATAGAGACTCTCGGTAATTATAGTGATTTGTATCTCAAGACAGATGTGCTTTTATTAGCAGACGTTTTCGAAAATTTTCGTGATACGTGTATAGAGAGTTACGGATTGGATCCAGCGTATTATTACACTTTACCGGGATATACGTGGGACGCTATGTTGAAATACACTGGTATTCGATTCGAATTACTCACCGATATCGATATGGTGATGTTTGTGGAACGTGGTGTACGCGGTGGTTTGAGTCAGTGTTCACATAGATACGCGCAAGCTAATTACAAGTATAACGTATCTTCGTACGATCCTTCGGAACCCTCGACGTACCTCATGTACTTCGACGTGAATAATTTGTACGGTTGGGCGATGTCCGAATCCTTACCGTACGGAGAATTTCAATGGATCGACGACATCGACCGCTTTGACGTAATGTCTGTGTCGTCAGACTCCGTTATCGGTTATATTCTGGAAGTCGACCTTGCGTATCCACAAAGCGTTCATGACCCTCATGTTGATCTTCCATTTTGCCCCATAGACTGGTGCCAAAGCGTATTTTAAATGCTAAAAAAAAAAATTAATAACAGGCAACGACCAGCTGGAAAATGAAGTTAAGGTTGTAACAAAACGAAAAAAAAATGTTTAAACACGAGATAATGTGAAATGGTGAAAT